CGGTTAGGTTCTTGTTAGAACTAAAGGCTTTGGTTGAGAACCCTAATCGTTCTCTTGCTTACTGGCTGGACACCCGAGCAGCATCCGTCCGTGAAACCCCAATGCATATTCATTGCGAGTTTGGCAGCGATCAGTGAAGTTCGCTTCCCTATATTTCGCTGTTCGATGATGATGATGAACAAAGTTTCGTTGGTGTGTCATTCAACAAGAAATCTGAATAGCAGACGAAGATCGGAAGTCGTCTCCACCTGCGAGATACGAAAGGAAAACCTCTTCCTCAGATTTGTCTTCAAAAGCGATCAGTGTGCGTCAGAAGCTCAAGCCAACCCTAAGTCGAACAGTCCCCTCTAAACGATTGCCAATGATGTTTGAGCAAATAGCTGTTTTCCCCGTAGGAAGCAATTTTTCTGCAATGTAAGCGATAATTGACCGTTTTAGAATCGTGACTTGCTCCAGTCTGGCCTGCCATCGAATTCGGTCTTTACTATCACCTTGCTGCACTTGGATGTGCAAACGCGGCGAGGTGAGCCATCGAAACAAAGCAACTTTCTTCCGGGGCGGTCACTTTGTACTAAACTCTCCCAGTCGTTCATGGATTTATCCACGAAAATAACGTGTACCCACATTAGGACAGGGTCATTTTGACGTAAATAGACGTAAGAAACGGCACATCAAAAAATGTGTAATGCATTCCTANNNGAGCATTCAAGTCACTGTACCGGACACACACTGATCCTGTTGGGTTCGAGGATAGTTAATGATATTGGCAAGTACCAGATTCTCATGATCCGATTTTATGGGTTGCTCCAGACTAGAATTCACTATCACATCTAACAACGAAAACGATGCCTTGTGGGAAAATCTGACTAATATCTTTTATATCCCATCCAGTTACTCATCGAGCATGCATTCATACAAGTGCTGTCCTTTTCCCGCATTCCCGTTACAGAGGTCCAAGTGTCATGCGAAACATTCTCGTTCCTGGTCGATTTGGTTGCCAGCATTGGGCCACGTTTGCGTTCAACTTGCTTGCTAAGTCGTGCCCGTCGAGTGCGCCACGGGCGAATAACCACGGAGCACGCATTGCTATACAAACATTGCCGTGTACCGGGGCATTTACTCACTCGACTCAACGATCACGTGCAGAAGGAATTGGAAAACTCAAACGATCTGCCGATCGGGGACGAATTTCTCAACTCGGCAAACGGTTCCGGTCTCCTGGATGTCCTAGTATCGGATCACGACCACAAAGTATCTCCAAACTTATTCACCAGTTTGCGTATTTGCTCCCAGTTGGGAGCCTCGGACACGTCCACGAATGAAATCACTCCAAAATCGGCTGAACACCTTTTACCGGCTTGAATCGTTTGTGTGCGTTTGAAAAAGGACATCAGTTCATCCTTTCACAAGATGTATTGAAGCCGGAGCGCACCAGCTGAGGTTCGGAGTACTGATAAGATAATGGGTTCGATTGAGATCTCTCGGGTGTCAAATGATCCACGAGGAAGTTGTGGTTCTTGAAGACAGCTCCGAGGTTCATCTGATCCAAATTGAACGAAATTTTCCCTTGCTGACCTTTACTGAAACCCTGTTCATTGATTTGTTCATGTATAGAATAAAAAATAGTGCTATGTTACGATTTGTTACTTATTTAATAATTTATCTCCAATTATCGTGCTTGTATATTTATCTAATTTGTGAAGAGTGTCACGAATAAGTCACGTGATGAATAGAGCACAGACCACGCTCCTCGTGAGTGCGATGTGGCTCACATTTGTTTCCACCACTAGTCGTTCTGTGCGACGGTTGGCAGTTTTGGCTGAACAAGAGACTATTCGGGACACACTGTGAGATCGGACTGACCGTGGAATTGTTGCTCTTCTCAGCGGCAAATCATCACCTCGGTCGTAGGATATTTGTTCCTCTTGGGAGTTTGTAGGACGGGAGAAAACAATAGCCCTTGTTTTCATGGACAGTGAGAATTTCAGCGAGCTACGGTTGCGAAGAAATTGAGATGTACGAGTGCCTCCTTATGGCTGAGTGTCGTAAACAGTGGTGCTCGCGCATCTTCTCAGTTTGTTTACAACCTTAACCCACTGGAATTCTCCACTTTCAACTTTCCTGATTTTCTCGTATTTCTTGATCCAAATGGGCAAACAAAACCGGCGCACAAAAGTGCATGGTTGTACAAACTGAAACACAATGCATGTTGCTTCGTGGTACTAGATGCGTCTAAGCAATTGGGCTGCGACATGAAATATCATTCAAGCTCTCCGGTTAGATATTATCCATGAAAAATCGCACGGAATACCCCATCACAAGAGTTTCACACCTTTAGGTTTTTATAGCGTCCGTACTATGGGCGCAACAATCGTGGAATATAGCAGTCAAGTAAAAAACCTAAATAAGAAATTGCTTTTTCCTAGGCATTATCAAAAGGACATTATGGTCGAAAATGCGATTGTTAGTACTGACTAGGACTTTGTTCGTTCCAATGTATGAATGATGCGCAAAGGGCTGTTAACAAACTTTCAAGTTAAGTAACTTCATTCATTCTTACCTACAAAGTGCAAAGTGATGCTACGAGATTGGGTATCTTCTACCCAATGACTGATGCTTGATGGTCAAGAATTAGCTATAGTGGAATGTTTCTCCTACTTAGGTAGTTGCCTGACAAATGACAGTAGCATAGTCAAAGAAGTAACCGCTCGCGTCTCCTTGAAACTGGAAGGCCGCGTATACTGCGCCAGCGTGGGATCAGTTCTGCCTTGTGGTTGCGAGACCCTGAATTTGCGTGAGGAAGATATTCGTCGTCTAGAAGTCTTCGATTGCCGATGTTTACGTAGTTTGGCTCGGGTTGGATGGAGCGAGCTTGTAAGCAACTCTGAGGTGAGGCGTAATGGTTTGATGGAAAATTCATTGTCCCATCGAATTCAAATTAGTCTGCTTAGCTGGTTGCGACACGTATTGCTCATGTCCAGATATCGTCTAACGCACCGTGCCTTATTTGCAGTTGCGGCTCCAGGTTGGAAAACACGTGATTGTCAACAGTTGACGTGGAAATGAAACATGAAGAAATTCATAGCGAGTAGGTAGATTCGGTGTCTCCCGTTTTCCAGGTGGGGCGTCCAAAAGACTGCAGCTGGTTGGTAGGAGACACTGAAGGACACGGCAACTAACTGACAGCAGTTGTGTTCGTGTTGTCATTTCTTATCAGGTCCAAATGCTTGAAAGGTATGTATGCACAGTTCGACTATGTGCTCTGCGTGTTGACCATAGAGGTTCACTTTCTTTGCCTCCCTTCAATTAGGCTCTAACCCTATCCACCTTGTACTTTCTAACTTGCTTTGTGTATATTGTGAGCTTGATAGCGATCAGTGAAGCTGTAGAGAAGCGACAAAATCAGTACTTACGTACAAACATCGGTTACGGATGCGCTTTTTCTCCTGTAGAGACAGCTTTAACCATTGATAATCTAAAAGAACACTGGTCATCATAGCAATTCTAATTATCTACCCGTGATATTTCGTATTTCAGTAGTGCAGTTGGCTCAGACAATCTGGTGCACACACCCACACATTTGCGATCCATCTTACTTCCTTTTACTGATTGTAGAATAATATGATTCTCAGTAAGAGGGAAGCGACCAATGAGGACTGTGAGGAAAGTCAGACGTTAGTTGTGGGATTCAGGTACACGTTCTCCTGTGCGATAAGTCAATACAGATTTGAATGTTTAAAAGCAAATCCAAGCGGAAGACAGAATTCATAAAGACTGAGGTTGCAACAGTAATAAGTGGATGCATGAGCGCCATCAGGCCGTATCACTCAGTGTGTCTAACCATCGATGA